TAGGTTAGCTTGCTGCTGGGGTCCTGCAGATTGGGACTGAGTGAGATGGGCCGGACATGCCCTAGAGCCCTCCCGCGGTCCCTCCCCGGCTGGCCAGCCTCCCTTGTTCCTCCTGGCCCTGATTGTGCACCAGTGGGGTCCCTTGGCCTGGCCTGCGGCCTCTCGCAATCCAGGCTGAGGGGAGCAGCCCCCCCCCCCCCCCCCGGGCACGAATTTTATGCCCTGGGCCTTTAGTTTACTATAAAACATTTATTCCCGTTAAAATGAACACAGTAAAGACTGTTTTGGAATTTTTGAAAATTTGCTAAATACAGATTGTAATGAGATAATTTGGTGTTTTTTAGTTATCCAAACACAGAGTTTAAAATTTTGTTGCTTTGAAGCTCTAAGGGAAAAATAGGATTCATTTATTTTATGAATCTCTTTGCCTGGGTCCTTAGTAGGGTGGCATCTTTTGAAAATCAGAAGTATCATCTTAAGCACTAAGTGGTAGGGCCAAGGGGTGGATTCGGTGATGGTAATACGATCCAAATAGACTTTTCTGGAGATCAGGTAAAAAAAAAAAATGTATTCCTTAAGTGAATGGCTGCCTATTACAGGAATGTAACCTGTTTGCATTTAAATAATCCTCCTAGTAATTCAAAGCTTTTGATGCTACTTCTATCATCATTCTTAGAAAAATTACTGTTAATAGAAAGGACATATTCACTTTTTCTCAACATAAAATTTTTATGTTTAAAGTTTAGTTTTTGATTTCCACTTGTTATTCTAATTTATATTTCTTAAGGCTTGTATCATTTTGAGTAAATTCTAATTGGATGTAATTATGCAGATGGTATACCAATACCTTAAATTTAAGTATTTGATTTTATACTAACACATAATTCTTCATCTATTATCATGAGCTATAAGTTTTGTGAAGCCATAAATGTACACCTATATAGTTTCTTGCCATTCTTGACTTCCATAATAGTGAGGGTCAACATTTTCTTCTGTTCCTTCTTGTTCTGAGTCTTCTTGGTGATCATCATGTTCTTCACTATCAGGGTCATCTTGAAATCTCCCTAAAACTTGGGTCTTCAGTTGTATTGTTTGACCATTAGTGCTTCTTTGTTCACCATAATAAATACTATGTATGTGAGGGAAGCAGAGGGAAATGTATGAGCTTATTGGCTCTTTTAACTTGTTTTGGTCCACACGAATGTATGTTAAATGGTGGTAATATAGTGGGTCAACAGATGGACACATCACTGTAACATTGATATCTGAAAATACAAATTAAAAATTAGTCTTGCTATATTACATTCATCATCCTATATCGGGTTTTGTTAAAATGTTATATAGATCTAGTTTTATTAATTAGAATACTTATAAGTGGAATTAGGTTTATTTTTACAGTTACTCAAATAACAAAATGAACATAAAACTATAAATGAATTCTATATTATCAAAATAAATGACTTCATTGGAAACTTAGTAATTTAAGTAATAAATAAATTATTAAAGTAATAAATTCTTAGAAACAGTCTCAAAAAGAAAAAAATGAAAATCTTCTATAGTCCCACTACTCAGAATACACATATTTCTTCATATACTCTACAGTACTATTTCTCAATGTTTAAGGTGATAAAATTTAATAGAAAAGACTATAAACTTTATAGCACACCTTTCTCTGGGACCAGTTTCTCCCATTTTCCTAGCCAACTTTAAAGCAATCATTTTCAACAATGTATAAAGCATAGATTATGTCTTTAAAAAATAATGAAAATTTACATACTTTCAATTTCATTATTTTCTAGGTATAGGTGTTCTAAATTTCTTGGAATATAGAATGCTTGCTTCAGTTTGTTGTGTCCAACATTGAGCTCTATCAGGTTGGAAAGATTAAAAATATTATATGGGATGTCTTGTAGTTTGTTGTGGGACATTCTTAGAGCATGAAGTTTCGGAAGTTCACTGAAGTAACCTTCTGGTATAGAAGAAATTGAATTATTTTCTAAAGACAGATACATAAGTGAAGAAGGCAAACCAGGAGGCATTGATTCTAATCTATTATGACATAGGTTGAGCTGCATTAATTTTTCCATTTTGGCTAGGTGATTTTCTTGTAACATAGAATCATCAAGATGATTATAACAGAGATCAAGCATGGTCAAGTTTACTAGTCCATTCACGGCATTTGTCTGCAGTCTGGAGATCACATTGTAACCAAGAAGAAGTCTTTCCAAAGATTTAGGAAGAGGAAATGGAAATTCTTCTAAGTTGTTATGCTGTAGTTGAAGTTGTAGTAGATTTGACAATTTAGCAAACACTCCATGATCAATCTTTTGAGATTTAATTTTGTTGTGGCTGAGATTGATTTCTTTAAGATGAGTTGCATTGATAAATGAGTCTGCAGTCACAGCCTCAATTTCATTGAACTGAAGATAGACTTGCTGAATGTGTGCTGGAATATTTGGGATACGCTGGAGTTTGCGATGATCACAGTACATGGATAATGGAAAGTTAGGTGGACAGAAGCATTCACTGGCACAGCCTAAAGCATGCGGATGAAAAGGCACTTGATAGTCCACATTTTGATGAAAATGGAATTCTGGTTGGTAAACATCATCTGTCTCTTGGTCATAATCTTCATCCCATTGATAACTTTCATATTGACAATATACTTTGCCTCCAAGAAAGAAGAAAAGGATACATACTGGACTTAAAAAGCCCATAGTTTCTTTTTGTCCTATTGCAAGGAGAAAAGGAAATATATTGTGGGAAAAGATAGTGAAATTTAGAAAAATTTTTGTGTAAGTTGAGAGATGCACATATATATCTATTGAAATACTAGAGGCCTGGTACATGAAATTCGGGCAGGGGGGTTCCTCACCCGGCCTGCACCCCTCTCCAATCCGGGACCTTCGGGGGGATGTCCGACTGCCGGTTTAGGCCCGATCCTATTCCACATCGGGCCTAAACTGGCAGTTGGACATCCCTCTCGCAATCCGGGACCGCTGGCTCCTAACCGCTCACCTGCCTGCCTGCCTGATCGCCCTGAACTGTCCCTGCAGCCTGATGCCCCTAACTGCTCCCCTGCCTGCCTGATTGCCCCTAACCACCTCTGCCTGCCGACCTGATCACCCCTAACCGCCTCTGCCTGCCAGCCTGATCGCTCCCTAACTGCTCCTCTGCCAGCCTGATCACTCCCTAACTGCTCTCCCCTGCCAGCCTGATGCCCCTAACTGCTCCCTTGCCTGCCTGATTGCCCCTAACCGCCTCTGCCTGCCAGCCTGATCACCCCTAACCACTCTGCCTGCCGGCTTGATCGCCCCCTAACTGCTCTCCCCTGCGGGCCTGATTGCCCCTAACCGCCTCTGCTTTGGCCCCCCGCCACTGTGGCCTTGTCTGGAAGGACGTCCAGAAGATGTCTGGTCTAATTAGCATATTACCCTTTTATTAGTATAGATATAAAAAAATGTCCAGAATGAATAGACAGTGCTCAAGCCAAAATTAAAATAGCCCAAGTGTCCCTCAGTAGGTGAGTGGATAAAAAAGCTGTACATTTACACAATGGAATACTACGAGGCTGTAAAAAGGAAGGAATTCTTACCTTTTGCAGTAGCATAAATGGACCTAGAAGGTATAATGCTAAGTGAAATAAGCCTGTCAGAGAAAGGCAAAGACCGTATGATCTCACTTATATGGGAATCTAATGAATAAAATAAACTGATGAACAAAATAGGTCCAGAGGCATGGAAGCATGGAACAGACTGACAGAGGGGAGGGGGTTGGGGCTGGGTGAAGAAAAATGATGTTTAAATAGCAGTAAGGATGTTTTGTCTTTTTGTTGTTGTTTTGTTTTGTCTTTTTTAAAGTCACATATTGCATCGAACCAGACTAAATAACCATCTTTTAAGAGAATCTTAGTTTGTCTTGCTAGTTTACTAGACTATAGATTTGCAGTGACAACAGGATGTTTCTCAACTCCAAAGTCAGTGTTTACTTCACTATAAATGCTGGGTGTTCTTATGGCTATTTGGTCTCTTGATGAAACCTTATGTTTTAATTAGAGAGCTTTTATCTAAGGGATTCTTTCTTGATATTAACCAAAATTTCCCACTGCAACTTGTTTGCTGATACTCTTTTCTGCCCTTTGGGAGAACATTGAACACTAACTTTTATGTGTAAGTTTTAGATATTAAAAATAGCTATCATGTTTCCTCTTTGTGTGTGTGTTTTTTTTTTTTTTTTTTACCCACGCCTAAGTATGACTTCAGATTTTCCCCATGAAACAGTTTTCAAAATCCAGTTATTTAATCTCTGAGGCACATGGAACCCTAAGCAGGAATCAAACCGGTACCTCCTGGTTTACAGGTTGACACTCAGTCACTGAGCCACACAGGTCAGGCAAGTCCTATCACTTCTGATGATCATTTCACTTAACATATCTGCCTTTTACCTCACCAATAAAGTAAGAATAATTGTTTAGCTGCTTATCTCATCTGGTAGTTGTTAGGGTCATATGAGATGTGCTCTGCCCACTTACTGTGATTCAAAAGTAATAAGTATGTTAAAAAAAAAAAAGAATCATATCTTTTATTTTGAATCCATTTTTCTCTGTCCTTGTGATCCAGGGTTTTATGGGAGAATTAATGTCCTAACATGTTATTATATGAATTAAATTATGTTATCTCCTATTCATGTAGAATGGTACTAGCCATTTTTCATCATTGGGATAATTGAAAAAATAGTTACTTAAATAATTTTCTCTGGTAGAGCCTCATTTTAGAAAGGCTGCTATAGACCCTGATATCTTTTCTTATTAGAAACTAAAACTTGGTAGAATTAAATATTGTGTGTATTTGGGAATTGGAGTAGTTAATCAAGTAGAGTCAGAGACCCTTGATCTCTTTGCTTTCAGTTATATTTTCTCCAGTCTTCCCCACCATTTCATTCCTTTCCATGCATCCATACCATGGGCCTTGCCGTTACCAGGCTGCAACCCCCTTCATGCTCTGATCACTATCTCCTGTCTTTTTAACTTATTCTACGTAGTAACTCTAACTGCAATAATTCTTCAGTTTCAGTGGGATCTAAAATATATTGAGCCTACTATTTTTTCATTGCCCCTTATCCATACCTCCCAGTACACTCAATTCCTTCTTACCAACCTAGACTACATAGTGCATCACTGTCATCACTCCTTTGCACATGCCATAAGCTTCTGGCCCCTTACAGCTTCATACTCTTCTGGTTATTTCAGTTCTCCATTTACTTTCGGCCTGACTCAGGCAGCTAAATATGACAAGAAAAAACCAGGACCATGCCAACTTGTAGAACTTTAAATTCATGACCATTCCAATGCTGCCCAGCAACATCTGCTTGGGCTATTCTCTTCTCTCTCCTGGACAAGCCTCCAAAACCTCAATTGATTTTCGATGGTGACCTTGCTGCTTCTTTTTATCGAGAAAATAGGATCAACCATTTGTTTAATATATTTTCATTATATATTAATCTTATCCCTATCTACGGAAAATGTCAAAATAGTAATGGTTTGGTATTTTAAACTGTGATTTTGAAATTCATAAAGTTTCTTATTGTAAATCTCATTAGACTTGATCCATTGTTCCTTCTTATCTGTGGGATTCATGGAGGATGTGGCAATTTGAATAAGACTTTGAAAGAATGTTAGGTTGCTCATAGAGGAAGATAGGGAAGATTTCCAGATATAAGAGATGAGCAAAAATATGTAAGTAGCAAAGGCTGGGGTGTTGGGAAACTGGTGGTTAACTGTTGAAGGAGCAAAATAGAACTGTTACAGTCAATCTGGACCAAAATCTGTAAATTCCTTAGGGCCTGAGTTCTGACTTGAGGAATTTACACTCTGGGACCGCACATAATTTAATGTGTACTTGAGCCATGATCCTCACACAGCAGTGTTCATGCATGCAGGAGTGTGGTCTTTCTCCAGAGGGCAGTTCATTGCTGGCTGCCCTGGGGGGTGGGAGATGGGGGGGAGGGCCTCCCTCACCTGCTGTCCTTAGTGACTTATGCTTAATGGGGAGTGTGAACATGGTTAGGAAGCATCTTATCACTATTAGTAGTTATTTGGTTTGGTTAACTAAAGTTAATGAATGTCTTGAATTCCTAGGGATTAGGCACTGTGCTTGGTGGGGAACATAGAAATGAAGTTGTGAAGGCATGGTCCCTTCTATAAAGAGTAATAGTTTAGTGCAGGGGTCCTCAAACTACGGCCCACGGGCCATATGCCATACAAATATTGTATTTGTTCCCATTTTGTTTTTTTACTTCAAAATAAGATATGTGCAGTGTGCATAGGAATTTGTTCATAGTTTTTTTAAAAACTATAGTCCGGCCCTCCAACGGTCTGAGGGACAGTGAACTGGCCCCCTGTTTAAAAAGTTTGAGGACCCCTGGTTTAGTGGATGGGAGAGACTCAACACAACACACCATATTGTCAGGCAGAGGAAAATGTGGCTCACAATAGAGACACAAGTGCTGTGGCAGTTGGTGGCTTAGCCCTGCTTGGTAGGGACAGGGAAGTCTTTAATATAGATATTCATTTGGCCCAGGCATTTGGACATTAACAGGAATGGGTATAGAACAACTTAAACATTTTATTCACTAGCTGATAAGTTATATATTAAACTTATCGTATTTTATTATACTTATAATATAGTATATTAACTTTTTAAAGTACTTCTCATACTTCATGTCAGTCTCACTATACCATGCATGGAGTTGGAGTTCTATAAGATTGCTGTGTCCCAGAAAGATGAAAATAGAAGTAGAAGCAAAGATAAGCAGCTGCGTGGGCTCATGGCATGTAGGAGTCTCAGAAGCTTACTGTTACATAGCTGAACTTTGAAGAGTGTTCCTCATCAGAACTCTGAATTTTGTGTTAAGGGGGTGGAGGGATAGAACAAAAAAGAAAAAAAAGAGAAAAAGTCATGGTCAAGGAAAACAATGTGATTGCCGGGAGGGGGGAGAGGAAGAAGAGGGTATGGGGAGATAAATGGTGATGGATGGAGACTTGACTGGGGTGGTGAACACACAATACAGTGTACAGATGATGTGTTGTAGAATCGTGCACCTGAAACCTGTATAATTTTGTTAACCACTGTTACCCAATAAATTCAATGAAATGAAAAAAAAGCTAGCAATCACCAATTAGTAACCTTACATTTGAGGATTAATGTCAAAATTCTGTTGTCCAATAATTATGATAAGTTATTGGGGAAAAAAGAAGATCTAGAGGAGACTTTTGATCCTGTACCTAATTGCATACCTTTTACCTGGAATAAAGACCTTTAGATGATGGGGTCTCTCTGGAAATGAAGGGATTCTTAGTGCATTTACTTTTGGTCTCCTTGGCTACCTAAGAAGACCTAAGGCAGGGGTGGGCAACCCCTGGCACGCGTGCCAAACATGGCACGCCAGTAACTTTTGCTGGCACGCGAAACCCTCTCTTATAATCTTCTATTTACAATTGTGAATCTTTGTTCTCAGTGATGAATTTTGTTAAGTCTTGTAAAGTTTTCTGTCGGACTATCAGTGTACATGTAGACATTAAAAAATAAATGTATTTTTCATCATCATATACTGTGTTTTTGTCGCTCGAATGAATTTTATTATTTCTTCAAGGTTCTTCACATACGTACACATTAAGAGATATCAAGTAGGCGTAACATGTTCTCAAAAAATTAGGGTTGGTACGCAGAAGAATTTGAGTTAGAGATTTTGCTGGTTTTGGCACAAAAAGGTTGCCCACCCCTGACCTAAGGTTTCTCTTCTACATTTGAGCTTGTCATCATTGTCCTTACTTCTTGAGAACCGGGGCCCCAGATCATAGCCTTGTGACTATTAGTAACTTTCTGGTGTGAAATCCATCCTATCTCCATCTATATGCCCATTATTTTCTATTCCTCTTACTTCTATTCCTTTTCAACTTCACCCATGATAATTGTCCATTACAATGATCTCTTATTTCAATGAATCTCTTTTCAGTCATTTACTAAGCATATTTTTATTACTTTTGACCTTTTATGTTCTATAATTTATGCCTTGTTTCCTATAGGATAATTCATAGCAAAACATTATAACTCACTGTCAAGCATCTCATTTCCTGACCTCTAATTTTTCACAGAATCTAGTACAGTTCACACTGTATAAATGCTCAACATTTTGTTGAATGTATGATTGGATTAATAAATCAATGGATTTCATCTCATTAACGATGCTCATTAACTAATGTTGATTGAGAACATTAATGTTCTTAATGTTGATTATTTCTAGGCATTTATTTCATCACAGATATTTCTTTAAATGAACATGGTCACAGAGAATGTGGCTGTTCTCTTGTCTATTGAATGTGTCTCCATCACAATATACTGTATTCTTCACTTTCCTCTTACATTATGTGGTAGAAAAATCACAAATGTGAAAAGGAAAGTAAAATACAAGTTACCAGTTTTAAAAACTATCTATTAGTGTGAATTTTTCATATTATGGCAATAAAAGTTTCAATGTTATAACATTTCTCTAACTTGGAAAAAGGCACTCCTGCTTTCATCAGGAACATTCTAATTAAGACCAGATAGAACTTTGTTCTTGAAAGTTTAAAGTTGTTGGAAAGCCTCATAGCATTTTATTATTTTAAAATAGACTTAATTGCTTTCTTGGTATGCCACAGAAACTAGAATATAAGAAACTTAGTATTAGTATATGATTCAGAATTTTTTTAAAGCAGATTTAAATTTAACTCTGTAGAATTAGTATGCCATCACTGTTACACTCAAAGGCCTAAGGAAATAAGGCTCTTTTGCTATTAAAATACAGAAGTTTCAAAATTATTTTTAGCCATAATACATTTAAATCTTAAATAACCAATACTCAAGAAACTAGATCCTTCAGTACTAGATAGAGCACTCATATCTTTGAGAAAGGCAAATGAAAACAAAAACATTCTTATACCAGGTATTTGTCGGTAGAGAGTGAAAACTTGTACAAACACCCATCTCCCTGCCACCAGTCTCTCGCACTGCTCAGATCTATGGCTCCAGGCACTTGTTAGGTGTTTGTCATTTACAGTTGAGAGACAGAAAATTATTCCATTAATCTAAAAACCTTTCATTCAAAACAAAAATATATATAAACAAAGATTATATAGAGGGTAGATCTTAAGTTAGAAAATTCACTATAATACTTCTTTCCCTGAATAATTTGGCTAATCAGAGTTTTAATGTAGCCTTTACCAGATATTGCTTCAAAAAGTTGTGCTTTTATGATGGTTGCAATCTATTTTAACATCAAACAATTCAAATATACTTTCTATTTTAAACAGTAGGAATACTTTCTTAAAAATGGAAAATTATTTTATCATCATACCTGTTGAGTTTGCTTTAGTTTTCAGGGGTTGATGAATTTGCAAATCCTGTAAATGAATCAGAAATTCCTAAATTCTTTAACTCAGTCTCTTAAAAATCCACAGTAACTGTATGCTCAAATAGGACTGTCTCTTGAATCACTGTTGCAATTTAAGCACATATAATCTGCCTGGAAAACACTTGGGTTGAATTAAAATTATGTACTTCTTTTCATTATCCAAAACTTTGTGGATTCGAATTAAGATGTTTGTGTTCTTGGTCAGATTTATGTGGCTTACTTCTTTCTTTTCCCCTTAAGTTTGGTTTGAGGTGTGGCAAGAATTTCCTCTAATATGAAGGGCAAACATAGCTAAATGAAACAGCATGTACTGATTACTGTTTTTATTTTCATGTTCATGCCAAAGAATTCTTCAAATTAAGGCCCACTGTAACAAAGAGCACAGTGTCTCAGCAATTTAAGGTGGAACTCAGAATTATTTGGAGACCTTGCTTGTCTGATACCCTAATGTTCATACCAGTGCTTTCTTTCATTAAGACTCAAACTAGGATTAGAAACATAGTATTTCACATCTAGTTAATTTTTTAAATGAAATAGATTGTCATTGTGATACAGATTAAATATATAACTTTTTCATACAAAGAATTATATCTTCTTTTCTATTAGCTATCACCTTCCTCCCAAATATACTCATTAGAATGGCTTCTAATAACTTTCGAAATAAAAATTAATCTCTACTTTTATAGAATTCAGTATTTTGCCCTCAGAAAGTATATCTCTAGTTTGCCTGTTATTAGTAGTATAAAAAACACGTACATAGTATTGAATAAGATGGAATTAGAAGCTTCTGCTGACCAATTACCATTGCCTTTATTTTGCAAATGTAGACCATTTTCTGATTTACTGAACTGTCTCTCCTGCCTAATTGATATATTTTTATACTAATGTTTTCATATTTTAAAAAGAGAGTTAACTTGTATCTCTTGGCAGTGAACTTTTTGAGTTCATTCTTTGGGAGATTCTTTCAAGATTATGCAAAGTAATAAGGTAGAGTAAATTCTGGAATTCATTTTGCTTTTGCTTTCCATTCAAAATAGTGTTTGTCATTGGGTTTTTACAAAGAATTCACACTATTTTGTTATACTTCAGATTTTTAAAAAGTGTACATTAATTCAAGTGATACTTTGGCAATATTGAAAAATCTTGTTTATTATTTGAGACGCTGGTATGTAAAATGTGGCTGACCGACTTTGGACCAAGATTTCATCTTGTTACTGATCTTTTCCATATGTTTCCTATTAGTCTTTGTTCTTAAACCTCAGGCTTCCACACTAAGGAACAGAGAGCAAATATGTGTACTTTTTTCAAAAATTATTTTACATGCTCTCACAGTTCTTTGGAAGATTAATTTACAACCAGTTGTTTAATTTTTAATGTAATTCCTCATTTAACTCTGTGATTTGAATTTATGATAATGATTATGTTGTTTAAGTTCCTAACAAATGTGAAAAAATATTTATCAATAGATAGCTGGAATCAAAAGCGTCTAGGAAATTTAAATGAATTTGGCAGTGTCTGAGAGTTTTGGATTTGGGGGAGGGAGGAAGAGTGGTGGACGTACAAAATAGATCCAGAGACATAGAAACATGGAACAGACAGCGGCATATCAGAGGGAAGAACTTATATACATATCTGCATAACCCATGGACACAATGACGTGGTAAAGGCCTGGGGTTGGGGGTGGGGGGTGAATGCAGGCTGGAAGGGGTCAATGGGAAAAAAGGGAGGCATCTCTAATACTCTCAACAATAAAGATACATTTTAAAAAAGTGGTGGGGACGGTGGTTCAAGTAAAGCCTTAGAGCAGTGGTTCTCAACCTTGGCTGCACATTAGAATCACCTGGGAATCTTTTTAAAATCCTGATTTCTGGGCCTGTTTATTTTCTAATTTCCTCCTCCATGACAAAAGGGACTTTCACTGCTGGGTCCCCAACCCTTAAAACTGCCTTGAATGAAGAAGGGGCTCAATAAATATCAGCTGAATTATTAAACGAATGAAAAGTCTTTATGCTTATTACCATAATTAACAAGTCTCAGTCAGGCCTTTCTTATCTAGCAATTCGTTATTTTGCCTTGAGATACTGTATCTACTTCAATCAAATTATAATTGAGGAGCCCTGGCCAGGTGGCTCGGTTGGAGCACCGTCCTGTGCATCAATAAGTTGCAAGTCAGGGCACACACCTACATTGTGGGTTCCATCCCCAGTCAGGGCATGTATAGGAAGGAGGCAATCAATCAATGTTTGTCCTCCTTTTTCTATTAAAAAAAAAAAAGGAAAACAAACAAAACAATAAAAACATCTTTGGGTGAGGATTTTAAAAATTATAATTGTAGAATATAATTTAACCTTTTCACCAATTCAACTGACTTCTTTCCTTAATTGCTTCAATTATAACCACCTAACTGAAACAGCGAACTATCACAATCATAGCTTCTTTTCCTCTAAGGCAGTGGTTCTCAACCTTGGCTGCACATTAGAATCACCTGGGAATCTTTTTAAAATCCTGATTTCTGGGCCTCATCCTCCGGAAATTGTTTCTTTTTTGTTATGGGGTGGGGCCACAACATTAATAACAAAGAAACAATTTCCGGAGGATGAGGCCCAGAAATCAGGATTTTAAAAAGATTCCCAGGTGATTCTAATGTGCAGCCAAGGTTGAGAACCACTGCCTTAGAGGAAAAGAAGCTATGATTGTGATAGTTCGCTGTTTCAGTTAGGTGGTTATAATTGAAGCAATTAAGGAAAGAAGTCAGTTGAATTGGTGAAAAGGTTAAATTATATTCTACAATTATAATTTTTAAAATCCTCACCCAAAGATGTTTTTATTGTTTTGTTTGTTTTCCTTTTTTTTTTTTTAATAGAAAAAGGAGGACAAACATTGATTGATTGCCTCCTTCCTATACATGCCCTGACTGGGGATGGAACCCACAATGTAGGTGTGTGCCCTGACTTGCAACTTATTGATGAACAGGACGGTGCTCCAACCGAGCCACCTGGCCAGGGCTCCTCAATTATAATTTGATTGAAGTAGATACAGTATCTCAAGGCAAAATAACGAATTGCTAAATAAGAAAGGCCTGACTGAGACTTGTTAATTATGGTAATAAGCATAAAGACTTTTCATTTGTTTAATAATTCAGCTGATATTTATTGAGCCCCTTCTTCATTCAAGGCAGTTTTAAGGGTTGGGGACCCAGCAGTGAAAGTCCCTTTTGTCATGGAGGAGGAAATTAGAAAATAAACATTGCAAGTGGTGTGAAGTGCAATGGAGAAGAATAAAGAAGGTAGAGGGGTAAAAACAAATGAGCACAGGGGTTCAGGGAAACAGTTTGGACACCACTGTGAGGTGTGCTGGAACAGAATGGTTATATAACTGCGGCCAGTGAGAGACCCTGTGTCTCCCTGCTGGTGGAGGTTACAGATAAGCAAGGGGGAGGCAGTGGAAATGATCCACGTGGTGATGGGTCAGAGCTGGAGACATCAGTATGAACTCAGGGTCAGCTTCATACATATACAGGTGGCTACATCTAGAAGTGTTTATAGATGTGTGTGCATACAGGGGCCAGAGTACACACATCTACCTCCAGGCTGTGGGCTGAGAGGGCCGGGAAGCAATGACACTATCAGCAACAAACACCCAGCACCGAAATCTTGGCTTCTAATACCATCCTCGAATAAAAGAGACCAGGGATCCTTGGTAAAACGGCTGATCTCCACAGAAGATCCAAGGGCACCTGTTACATCTTCCTCTATACAGTTAATCAAGTTTTTATTTGTGACGATCTGCTAGGTCAAATGGTATTATAGTTGGAGTTTTCATTTCTCTGTGAACCTGTTTGATTTTCTTTTCTTATATTTTGCAGCCATGTACACTTCTTTTTCTGAAGATATCTATAACTTTTACTTTTTTCCCTGTTGTGTAGGTCTCTTTCTGGTTGACTTTTAAGAGTTCTTCATATATTAGGGAAATAAGGCCTATGTATGACTCATAACTGTTGTTTTCAGCTTGTCATTTGTCCTTTGACTTTGTTTTTAGCAGTTTTGCTGTGAAAACTTTTAAGTTGTTTACACATTTCTGTTTAAGGTCCTCCTAGCGTTTGCTACCTTCCCTATTTCTACAATATCAGGAAAATGCTCCCATGGTATCCATAGTTTCTTCTAGAACTGTTATGGTTACATTTTTTGCATTTAAATTTCTAATTTGTTAGAATTTTACAATATCTATTGTGAGGTGTCATCCCCCTGAATGTTTTGCTGGGTGGCTCTCCAGGTGGGCCAGTAGCCTTAACTGAATACCTGCATTTCTCTGCCCAGTCTGACATGCTATTGTCACCATACACTTACAAATTGATTCTCAGTATTACATTCTTTCCCCTTGAGCTGTCTGTCAACTCTCTAAAAAAAAATATTTTTATTAATTTTGAGAGAGAGGGGAAGGGAGAGGAAGAGAGAGATAGAAACATCAATAATGAGAGAGAATCACTGATTGGCTGCCTCCTGCACACGCCCTCCTGGGGATTAAGCCTGCAACCCGGGCATGTGCCCTGACCAGGAATTAAACCTGTGATCTCTTGGTTCTTGGGTCAGCGCTTAACCACTGAGACACACTAGCTGGGCTGTTTGTCAACCCTTGCACAAGTACTGTGTAACTTTAATTGTTGTAGCTTTTTGAATGTCTGGTAGTAGGACTTGCTCCCCTCACACTTTTTTAGGATTTGCCTAACTATTCCCACTTGCTGCTGCTGCTACTGCTGCTGCCTGTTTTTCACTTGACCTGCATATTTCCTTTTCTTTAATATTTTCCAGTATTAAAGTTGTCCATCTGTGTTATAGTATGGTTAATTTCCTTTTGTTCTTCATCTTACTAAGTATTTTTATGTGTGATAGACACATTAATTAAATACTTCATATAAAGAATAAATATGAAGCCCTAACCGGTTTGGCTCAGTGGATAGAGCGTCGGCCTGTGAACTCAGGGGTCCCGGGTTCGATTCTGGTCAAGGGCATGTACCTTGGTTGCAGGCACATCCCCAGTGGGGAGTGTGCGGGAGGCAGCTGATCGATGTTTCTCTCTCATCAATGTTTCTCTCTATCCCTCTCCCTTCCTCTCTGTAAAAAATCAATAAAATATATTTAAAAAAAAAGAATAAATATGAATATCTATAAGACACCAAGATTAATGAAGCAAGCACATACTTACCATCCAGCTGAAGAAA